TAAGCTTCCTTCCCAACAGTTGAGAGAAAATGTGCTGTCTTCTTCTCGGCGTCCAAACTTTTGCGGGTGAGACACCAAATCTCAAAACGCTCCAAATAATCTTCCACATAACGTGAATTCGAATGAATATCAAGAATTTCCAGTTTGCAGATTTCCATAATGAGATAAAAACCGGCCGCGACGCCAAATGTGGTAATCTGTACTTGAATTGAACCGCAATAATCCGCGCAATTAAGCTCCAACCGAACTAGCACGCAGTATGGAATAGAACTGCAGAATATTCGAAGTCAGTTTTGTTTTACGCGCCGAAATTGTACAAAGCAATCGATCATGTAATGAAACAAGAATGTTCAGTTTACACACAATCACCACAGTTTCCCTCGGGTGTAGTCCATATCTCTAGTATATACACCTTCGGGAGGGCATCGGATGGAGATTGAACGGTAAGGTTTCAGATTGAAACTTGGGGTGCGGCTTTTCTGGAGATGCTCATGATGAACTACAAATGGCAATGGGAGAACCTTTAAAAACAGAGCAGCCCCCAAACTCTAGGTTTCTCGTCGGTGAGGCGAGAAAACACTCCTGAATTCTCCCTTTTCCAGCAAAGCCATTAAAGATACGTATGTCCCGGAAACTGGGTTAGACGGAACGCATTAGAACGAACAAAGTTTTGGTATACTGCCTTGAGAGCCAAGGCCATCCGTAGCCAACATAACGATGAAAGCCCAACTGGCATAGACCAAATTTATTCTTGGAGAGAATTAACTGAACTGAAGTGAACTATATGTAGTGTGAAAAGCAGTACGTGGTATTTCTTACAATGAACTCTATAAAACACGAAGTTTCATCTTTTTAATGGGATGACTGCGTTTCATCCGAGTGTATCAACGAAGTCAGATGGACTCAGTGACTGAAACTATGTTGCGATTACTTCAAGATCATGTATTTAATGTTTCACTGGACGATAATCGTGCGCTTTTTCCCTCAATTGGTATAACGTTTCTTGTGATTGAAAACAGCCGTTCGCCCAACATGCTTTCACCACATACTTCAGCTGTGTATGTAATGATGCTTATTTCCACTTAGTCTATTAGAGATGGTGTTTCCGATTCCCCACTGAGTTTCAAAGAGTTACGTTGTGGCTGAACGAATGAAAACCTGAAATTCATTCGAGTGACTCGTGGTTCTTTCTCCACCTGTGTCGGTTGTTTGAGGAAACGTAACTGTTGCCTACGATCACTTCACGTATCGATCAATCTGTCAATCACCGTTGTCATGGTGCAATCCTACTACTGCGTGCTTTAATTATTGTACACGTTCGCCTATCTGTGATGATGATCTAATCAATCTGGTCAGAACAAGTGTGTCTGTTGGGGTGAAAGGATTCACTCTATTCCTTTTTAAATCGGTTTGATTATAATCAACAACTCAAACTTTACCACTCACTGTCTCCAGTCTGTTGCCTTACCGGGATCAGATTGTAATTGATTGCGGGCTTGCTGCAACTTTGAAACAGTCGCGAGTCACATCGAACTTTCTCCGCAATTATTTTTTCTGTCAGTTAGCCTACTGTACAAACTGGTCTAAATCCCGTTCGCTGGTCTGATCGATGAGGTATATTTGTGGGTGAGGAATACTTTCAGTTCGAAGCAACAACCTAAGCACCTCTAGATAATATCGGCATCTTGATTTTAGATTACTTTATCGACCAAAGATGGCAATCGTTTTTGCTTTTTGTTTTTTTGAAGTAATTCGTAACAGAAAACTGAATTTAAAATCCTCATACCAATTGGGCTGATCGACAAAAGTAACAAAACATGTAGATAATCACTGATTTATTACTGAATAAGTCACAACTCTTCCTCTATTCGGACTTGTTTTCTCGTTCAATTTCCTTCATCAGCACGGAACTCAGTCGTATCAAGTACTCCATCAGTTCCGGGGGTGTGTCCGGACGCATTAATGCGTAAACTTTCAATGTTTGAATACCATGCATGACCTCAGTCGCGGTTGGCGGTAAGAGAGTCAGTTCTTCCGGGAACTCCAGATCATCCTCTGTCTCGGAAAGCTTGCGCCGCTTGACGTCGCATAAAGCGCGCTGCTCCTAGAAGTGAAGTAAACATAATAAAAAGTTGATTAGAAAATAAATTACCTCATCATCTTCCTCCAGCTTCAAGTTCGATTTCTCACCGTATTCGTTCAGCTCGTTCCGAAGAAGTTTATCATCTATGGTTTCGTACGAGCCCAAACACTCGGAAACGAAAGTCAAAGTTTGCGACGAATTCACGGATAGTCTCGTGACGAGTCCTGCTTTCACGAAAGAATTAGCAATAATGCTTGACTGCAATTCAGACCAAGCACATCGAATAAAATGCATTGCCTTTAAAATATCGAGTCTCTTCATCAGATATTGCTGAATATTCTCTTCCATACCGCTGATAAAGAAATTCAGAAGCATCGTTCGGTACAAATTTTTAAATGACCAAATTATGCCGTGATGCATCGGTTGTGCAACAAGCATGCAGCTGGACGGTACGAGTAGTAATTTCACATTGGTCAGATGCGCCCCGATCTGTTCGAGAGCCATATTGTCCACGATGAGCAAGATATTGCGTTTCTGTCGCATCATTCTCTCGTCTAACTCCGTCAACCAATCCAACCACAGGGAACACGTCATTAATGCTCGCTCGGAACTTCGATAGGTGCACGGAATGGATGTTCGATCCACCGCGTCAAAACAGCGAGGGTTTTCAGACTTTCCGATGATCCACGGGGGAAGCTTGTCTCCGGATGCACTGCAACACAGAACGACTGTCAGTCTGGCTTTGGAACCCTCTGCTCCGGACGAGAACGTGTGGACACCCTCGGGTAGGATGTGATAATAGAGTGTGGTTTCTTCAGCGTTGAAAATATCGGCTTCGGTGTACTTGGTTTTCAGATTGTGAAATTCCTTGAGGAAACTCACGATAGTTTCTTCTTGTGAATTGTTGCTAGTTCTTTTGGCACTTGTCTGCTTTGATACATCTTCGGTCAAGAGGGAATATCAGACCTACCTTATTGGAGCTCAGCCCGAACCGATTTTTCCAACAGTTGAACCAACCACGTGAAGCTTTAAATCCTTGTTTTCCCAGAGCGGTAGCAAATTCCATCGCTTTCCAGCATATCACATCCTCCACTAACGGAACATCGCCGTGCTTCTCTCGCATTCCTATAAACCATTGATATGTGGCATTGTTGATTTCGTCAAACTTCTGTCCAACCTTCAATTGACATCGTTTTCTATTAAATCCACTACCGGAACGTTCTTCAAGTAATGTGCGGTTCGAAATCACATTTTGGACAGTTTTTCTGGACACCCCAAAATGCTTTGCCACTGCTGTCTGTGTCATTTTTGGGTCTGATAGTTTTTCCAATATCTTCAGCTTTTCATCGATCGTTAATTTTTTGGTCATAATTTACTGAAGTATTTTTTATCGTAGCACGCACACACACGCATCGCAACTCCACATTCGTTCTAGAGAAAGCGCGCTCGCCAGCGATCAATGCGCCAACAAGGGCAGTCAAATGAATTTCATCGCCAACAGACAATGTGCTTTGACCAATCACATATCTGAGCGCGGGTAGCCAATCATGTGCGACATTATGAAGACAGGCTGCCATGACAGTGGGTCAGAACGGAAGCGGGAACCTATCAGACGTGCGACTTTTCAAGGACGCTACCTTTCTAGGTTGGGACACTATGGCAACGGATACGCACAGGTTTGGGTGAATACTGGCTTGAGAAACGGTCCAAAATGCTTACTTCCTAAAACTGCTACATATCACAGAGCGGTTCACGTCGGTTCTAACACATATATACACATATATGCACATAAAATGTACATTCCCCTCATTTTGCCATCAAAAGTATTCCAGGTGTTTTAGAATTCGGAGCATTGTGCAATATGAATAAAAAGTGAATATATATATGCACTGACTAATCTAGAGTTGTATGCGCAGATATCTTTCTTAACTCAGGATTCTTCGGAAACTTGGCGATTAGTTGACAATAGTGTTTTCCTTTTGGGGTTATGACTGTAGAGAATTGTAATAAATTATCGCTGCCCATGCAAATCAATTCACGATTTTCCCATCATCATTCCAGGTTCCTTCATCACCATTTCAAGTCTTCTCATTATCAGAGTTGCCAGGCGCCACAGACACTGCTGTCTCGATGAATGCAATTCAGCACAAAAACACCCCAAATCTCCTGACGAGGTGCTTGCGGTTCAGCAACCGTGCTGTGACGTTTCTCAGTCCAACTAGCCCCTAAAACCACGCAATATCTTGATCATTTATCTTGCTCATAAGCGTATGCGTATTACATGCGCATAACATGAGTTTCACCACCNCCCCCCCCCCCCCCTGAAGAATCAGATCGTGCGATGTTCCGTTGATACCAATGGATACTGTTCGATCAATTTACTGGAATCCCGATCCAGTTGCTGTGTTGCTTCCAGATCATCTACTTTTCGGTTATACCCATAGAATATCAATATTAATTAGTAAAAATGACAATTTTCACCATATAGTCAGAATGACACTAGAAAACTCGACCAAACTAACTGAGTTCAAAACAGTGTACAAAGAACTAACCAGTATCCCACACACTGTCGAACCGTCGTGCAATTTTACGACTAATTTTGGGTTCGAACATAGGAGTCTTCTTCAAAATAAAAGTTCTCTTCGGCTCTTTTTAAATAGTTCTGAATCAGAATAACGATAAATTGTTCTTAACAGGTACCAGGCATATGTTTTTGTAGCCAAAAGAGGAGATAGTTCAGCCGAATGATGATCTCTTCAATGGTAAACGATGCTTGACCTCGTTGGATCGCACCCTCGTGATCAAGTAGATGGGTCTGGCCACTTCGCTCATTCCGACACCATCTTCCGTTTTGACTAAGTGACCTGTGATTGCTGTTTCCTCATCCCTCCCCCCCCCATACACCCGTTTTCGTTTGTCCATAACAAAAAGAGATACAAGATAGGAAAGCAAAAGAAGCTACATTTAGCCGTTTCGGATTTAAGGTGTCTCCATTGGGATGATTCTGACTCTCGGTTGAAAACCCGTCAACACATCACTTCGCTCGAATAACACCCATTCCTAAGAGAGATTCTATTGAGAACCGATCACTGTTGAACGTCTTCGAAAGAATACTGTTCAATCGAACGACTCCCTTGGCTGATGCTCATGTCCCTTTCCAAATTTCTTACAAATCTTCCCTTTTCTTTCCTTAGATTCCTCATTAGAGAAAGGGTCTGGCACTGTTCGTTCAATTATCCTAATTTTTTCCAATGTTTTTTAGATTACATAACCGTGGTATTCCGGTGGTATTTCAACATCTATCGGATTTCGGTCACGGACTTCACGGGCTGAATGTCCCAATCAATTACTTCTCATACAGGATGCAATTATCTCTTGTTATAACGTTAAAAATCCCCTCTCTCTAGAAGTTATTAAGGGGGGTTTTAATGCGAAATTTAGTCTTCAATCCGTTTTCTCTGTACACAAATCATCTAACCCCTCCCGACTCATTCGTGTGCATATACGACGATTATGTGGCACTTGGATGATCCTCCACTGATCTTGACACACTCCGACTACTTAAACCAANTAAACCAATCTTTTATTTTTTGGGGGGGGGGGTCTCAGCAACAATCTTAGCTACTTCATATCGATAGATACGTTGGTGTTACGTTTAACCTTGACAGAGCATCCCATTTTCTGACTCTGGAGTTACTTTTTCACATAACCTCTCTTGATTCAAGTATACATAAAACCTTCTTATTGGGGTTGTAGGTGGTCCCCCCGTGAGTTCAAACTTAAAATGCTAACCGTTTTCTTAAATGTGATCGGTTAATTTGTGGCATCCTGCATTCCTTCACACTGGTTGTACTGTTATCCTGTACTTTTCCGAACTAAAAATAAAACGGACTTTACCGATTTTTCCAGATCTATATCTCGTTCCAGTGGGATCCGCAAGACTCTTGTTGGTTGATTTCGTTGTGTGTAAGCCTTTTAACGAATATAGTTTACCTATCAGTCCCATACTGTCAAACGAAGGGTGCTGCTTACACGCCCATCTCAATAACCGTGTCCCACCCGTGTACTCGCTCTAAATAAGGGCTTCTCTCTCCACGTGCTATCACATACCGAAACAGCGTCATCCATTATCTTGCCCGTACCATAGTAAATCGGACAAGTGTCATTGTTTACTTCAAAAACCACTTATGGCACTGCCTTTTTCAAGCACTCAATTGCTTTACCCTTCTTACTCGCTTCATGAACCCGTTTAAAAATCTGAAAATTTACCTTATTGGGTGCATGACAATTACCGAAATGGGAACGGCCTCAAGTAATAAGAGAAAAAAACCGCATTATTGATGTCATGAATTACTCACTCCGCTTCACCAATTTCATACCACAGGAACCACAAAATTTTCCGCCACGTGAGCAACACGTCACACTATGTAAAATGACGGTTACACATGCTTGTGCCAATGCGGTTTGCATTTTTTGCATTTTTCATCCGAGTTCTGTTTTCATCAATCCATCGTACCGTTGGAACTGTATACTAGCCAATGGGGTACGAGATGGGCGCACATGGCGATGACTATCATGATGATGATGATGATGATGATGACCATGATCACATCGTGATGCTAGCCGTTGCCTTCATTCGATTGATGAAAGCTCTCCATAAAGTGAGGTGGCGGTGATGATGGTGATGGTGGCGGTGGTTATTACTATTATTAATATTATTATTATTATTAATATTACTATTATGGCACACGCAAAGCATGTCAAAGCCACATACAAGTCACGTGACTTGCACAACTTTTCTGAGTTGAGTGAACACATGATTTTATAAACTCCGGTTTCATTTCAAACGTTAACCGACTGGGTTGGTGCAATCTGTATAAATGCAAGTTTATCACGAACGATCGAGTAAATGCGGCCAGAATTCACAGATATAATGCAAATGGAGAAGGGAACTGAGAACTCGTCCGTAATGCTCGTCAAACGGATTAAAAATAACTTGGCACTTCCATGCTGGCGAACGCAACAGCAAAACCACAAAACAACCGAGTCTTTTTCGTCCTATGCGAAGCACAATCAAAGTTTTAACATAAGGACTACCGAAAATCCATTGTTTTTCTTGTCCCACAGGTTCTTTTTCTATCACGGATGAGTCATTAGTTCGGACTAATAGAGATGAGAGATGTTACCCATAGTCGCATGATTTCGTTTCGCTTCATTTGTTATCATGGACGTTTCAGTGCTGAACAGATCAATGTTTCAGCAAATCTTTGCCCGTAAGCATCAACTGTTAGTGCACAGACACCGTGGGGATTCCAATCAGTGCACACACTGAGAGCATTCCGAAGGACAGTTTTGGAGAACTAAAATAACTAATGTGAGGATATTTCCATGCTTTTAGACGAATCTTTCTGCTTCTGTTTTAAGCTACATTTTTAGATGAAAATCTTCTCTTGCTTGTCGGTGATTTCATTTTTTTCCGTGTGCTTCCGTTTGATCTATCTGACCTGTCCTATCCACCCACTTGAGGTAGCTCTGCAATGGACAGAGTGACTACAAAGCCGCCCTTCAACTTGTACTCTCTGAAAACTAATGGATATGGTTGTTACGTGTGACTATTAAGCTCTTCTCAACAGGTCAAAAGTGTACTCTCGCCCTATCATTATCGATTCAAATCAGATAAAACATCATCCATTGGACTTGTCACCCAGCTGTTTCTCTCTTCTCACCCGTTCAGTCTCGGTTTAAATTATGTCTATTACCTTTAAAATGTGCTAGCCTTTTCAATGAAACGATCAAATTGATTTTTCTCTTGCCCCATGAAATTATTGTTTGTGTGAAGTGGTAGACTTATCTCGCCCTTTTTTAAATCACTGAGAAGGCTCAAATAAAAGGTCTATAAATATGGCCATGCCTCGGTCGTAATGCACTACTCCGGCTTAATCAAGGTTGAGATAGCATATCTAAATGGAATATTCGCTGCCCAGACTCTGCAACCAAAGAAAAACAACCGTTTATGGTAAGGTATTTGTCTTCTCTGTGGGCAGAACATAAAGCAATCGAGTACTGGAGTGGAAGTCAACTGCCTCAACGCTCATCCACCCGTCGAACGAGAACTACATTCCCTCTTTCCCATGAGTTTGATGAAGTCTTTAGACTGCTCCGGTCCTCCAAGGTATCCTCGGCTGCAGGCTATGATGGTCTTCCTCCGACGCTTCTGAAATTTGTAGCAGCTTCCCTGGCCACTGCGGTGATATTCCTCATTAAAGGGTCCCCGTCTTCCCGATCGAGTCCTGATTCTTGGCTTCA